CATCACTGCCGGTTCACCCTAATCCGATAATGATGAGACCGGCAGTGATGTCTAGATCTGTAGTAGTGTACACCATGCATGATCGAGTCCATCACAATGTCTAAAAAAAGTTAGCATATTTGCGATACTACAAGGGCGCGGTGAAATAGTTAAATGAGAAGAGGACCAAATGAAGGGGGGAATTTTTTTTGAAAAAAAAATACATGCATGGATAATGGATGATAGCGATATGTGCAGGGGTGGATCTAAGAACAATACTATAAACAACAGACAACAGTCAACCAGAGGTGACCCATCATCACGTATACGCCAGTTGTATTGGATTGGAGGAGCTAGGATCGATGGGATTAATCAGTGAGTGAGATGAGCAAGCATGCATGGCCCATGGCTAGGTCTTGCTCCCTAGGAATCCAGGCATTGGAGGTCGGCAACAAGCAGGCGATGCCTCAGCTGGAGATCACTCGATCGGCGGATTTATTTGATTGGCGGCTTCTCTACGGCGCGGAACGAAGGTAGCAACTTAGCATACACACCGGCGATTCGATCGCCATGCGTGTAGCGTGTGCCGCCATGAACGAAGGACAAATAGATCAACAGGGATGCATGCATGGCGGATCTGTCATACGTTGGCAGCACCAGCACGTGCGTGCATGGTTCAGATCGAGTGGAAACCATGCATGTGCAGACATGCGTACGTGCACTCTCTTTCGAGTTTCAATCGATATGGACGATGGATGCATGTATGCCCGATACCGCCTCCCCTTATGCACATATATTCGCAGTGCTGCAGACAGTGGGCTAGTTAATTAATAAGCACACAAGCATGCATGGCGATGGCGATCGAACCATCGTTCCACGACCTGCTGCAGGGACGTCAGGCAGCCTTGATTAGCTTTTACTTGGACTATACTATATATTATATATCGGATTATGTGCACAGCGATGGATAGATCAGAGGCCACCGTTGTCAATCTTCTACGCCGCTGCATAGGTTACTCCCACGGTCAAAAAAAAAAGAACACAATTCTAGGTTTACGGCTAGTCAAACTTCTTCAAATTTAACCTATTTTATAGAAAAATATTAATATTCATATCTTCAAATAAATATATTTACTGTAAAAATATATTTTATAATTAATTTAATGATACTTTTTTATATAAAAAATGTTAGTATTTTTTTCCGTATAGAGGTAACTATTACATCTCTCATCTCTGTGTTGTTATTCCTCCAAGAAACTCAACAAGCACATTCCCTAGCCGCCAACTCATTGTCCTCCTTTGCTCTCCCTGCCAACGAGGATCTCTCTTCGTATCTCCTCTGCCTCTACTTATACCATTCCCTCTCCCTCTCGATCTGAGAACGACAATCCCTATCCATGTCGGGCATTCCACCATGCAGCTTCCCGCCAACATGGATGACGATGTCCGTGCCTAGACCCGACACGGTCTTGCTCCAGCGACAAGACTATCATCTAGGATCATGGCGCAGTGGGCCGCCCGGTTACTGATAGTCTCATCTTGATCAGTTTATAGGTTGTTTTTCGAGTCAATTAATAAAATAGATGGAGCCAATTTCCATATATATCTTGCCTATGCCATGTACGCCAAGTAGATGAGTCCCCCATTGAATTTGTCCTAGGCCAGTCGGCTTGACATACCACCACCTGGGGAGGCAGTTATAGTCTTGGTGAGGGTACTCGGGGTCCATCTGGGATGAGTACCCTACCACAAAACTGATGGTATTTGGACATAGGTCTTCGGCCTGGTTGTCACGGAGAAAAATATTGATCTATAGTAATATCATTGATCAGATAAAGGTAGCTAGTTGTCTAGTTGTTATATGGATTATGCATATATGTTAACTCAACCTTTTACTTTGCATGATGCTATGACATTTCTTCATTCTAATGTGCAAAGTACAATGAAGGCTAGTGTCAGTGATTGTAGGGTCGAGATGGTGGACTAGAGGGGGGTGAATAGTCCTTTCTAAAATTAATTGCGCCAACTAACCGAAACAAATACGGAATTAAAATTATCGGTCTAGTTAAGACTACACCCCTCTATCTAAGTTTCAAGCACCTTATAAAAATCCTAATTAGGCAACAAAGGTGTCGGGCTAGCTAGAGCTCACCTAATCAATTCTAGTAGCAAGGTCACACAAACCTATGCAACTAGTACTTCAAGCAACGGGGGAGCTCCTACACAATCTAGTAAGCAAAAGCGCAAACCTCCTAAGCTCACTAGCAAAGCTCAATAACAAGGTTATACAAGTCAAATTAGAGAGCTCAAATCACTTAGCTACACAAATTAGGCAATATAACTAACAAGGTTACTCAAACCAAATTAGTCACGCAAGGAAGCTACTTCTATGCTACACAAGCAAGAAGGTAACTAGCAAACTACACAAGTCAACTAGTTACAAGAGCAATTACACAAGCTCAATGTATATGAAAGTAAATACAAGCTTGTGTAAAGGGGATGCAAACCAAACGGGAAGACAAGGATGGCACGGTGATTTTTATCCCGAGGTTCACGTGCTTGCCAATACGATAGTCCCCGTTGTGTCGACCGTTCACTTGGTGGTTCGGTGGCTAATTGGCACCACACCAAGCCCACACGTTGAGCGCCGCAAGAACCCCACGAACCAAGTGAGGGTAGCTCAATGACACGTTCAACTAGAGTTACTCTTTGCGACTCCCGCAGGGCAATCACAACACCCCTCACAATCACATCTCAAGAGCACCGCATAATCTTCTTTGCGTGCTTCGATGGAGATCACGCCACCAAGCCATCTAGGAGGTGGCAACCTCCAAGAGTAACGAGCACCACCGGCTTGTAACTCGATCACCTAGTGCCACTCGATGCAACCGCATGATGCAATCGCACTAGAATCACACTCACACTCAATCGGATAATCACTATCAAGCGTATGTGAGTTAGAGGGCTCCCAAGCACACCTACACAAGCCACCAAGGCTTAAGGGTGCTCAGCAACCAGCCCATGGTCAAGTTCCACCTCTATTTATAGCCCCCAAGGCAAATAGAGCCGTTAGAGCCTTGGAACACATTTCTGCGTGGCCACCGGACAACAACATGTGGGCACCGGACATAGGGTGGCGGTGCCCAATGGTAGAATTGCAACGGCTATTTACAACTAGCCTTTGGGACCCTGGCACCGGACATAGGGGGGCGGTGCACCGCCCTAGGGGTGATGGTGTCCCCCGACAAGTTTCCCCCCACTCTAGAAAAAAGGAGCGGTGCCACACCGCCATAGTCACCGGACAGTGCGGTGACCCTAACTTGCTCCAAATTGAAATGCATCACTTCAATGTTGTAGAGCTATTTGTTAGCTTTCTGAAAAGTCCTAGATCATCGAAATCGGAGTTCGGAGCTAGGAATTATACCCGAAATATGAAAGGGTGCTGCTGCTATTTTTGGGCACCGCCCCTGGCACCGCCCTAGGGTGGCGGTGCACCACACTAGGGGCGGCACTGCCCACTTTTTGGCCACCAGAAAGGCGGTGCCACCCTCTATAATGGCTGCAATTTGGCTATGAGTTAGGTTGCAACTTCCAACCGTCGAACAACCATAACTAGCTCTTTTCTTCTCTTTTTCCTCTCCAACTTGATCCGTTTCAACACCAACAACTTCTCCTTTGCAAATACGCCAACACCACCAAGTGATCACCATCTTGTGCATGTGTGTTAGGTTTTCATAAATGTTTTCCAAAGGATTAGTCACTCAATTCACCGTGCCACTCGATCCTAGCAACGATGCAAAAAGTTAGATCACTCGAGTGGCACTAGATGACCGGTATGCAAACAAGTTTGCCCCTCTTGATAGTACGGCCATATATCCTAAACCCGGTCATAAACTTCTCTACACACCTATGACCGGTGAAATAAAATGCCCTATAGGTTATACCTTTGCCTTGTGCATTCTAATCCATCTCCTCCAATGTCGATGCAACACATGCACCATCATGATCACAAATGATATGATCCACTTCATATCATCACGTGACTGTATTGGTTCATCGATCTTGACCTCACTTGCTTTTCACCATTGCCTTCGTCCATTGGCGCCAAGTCTTGCTCAAGCTTCACCGCCACGCGGTCCATCACTCCAAAGCCTCTAACTTGCCCTTCACGCTTGCAACCGGTCCACCAGGCCAAGTCTTGTCTTGATCTTCTCCACCTTAGTCACATGACTCCATGTCATGTATCATATGCAATGAGCTCCTTCATCACATGTGTGAGCCTTGCAACAAACCCAAGCCATTTCACCTCCATGGCATGTATTGCTCACACACATGTACCTATGGACTAATCACCTGTGTATTTCACTTAAACGCATATTAGTCCACCTAGGTTGTCACTCAATTATCAAAACCAAACAAGGACCTTTCAATGATCACATGGATCACTTATTTCATTACATGGTTACTATATTAAAAGTCTCTACAAATGCATTAGCATGGAGAACGGATACATGAACATAATACATGTCCGAATGTTCCCTAAGATACAATTGTTGCTGCTGCAATCAAACTCAGAACTCATGAGACAACCTCTTCATACAGTCAAATTAACCCCCCGCCCTCATCCTCCTCTACATTTCTATCTAGGCTCCTCCTGTCACATTATGCAGTATGCCCGGATCACCTCGATTATAGGTGCACGACAAAGCGGGCATTTTCCAACCCCATGTAGCAATTCGCTTGCGCATTTTGAGCAGGTGCACATATGTCCACATCTAAGGGTAAGTAGCAGATAACGTAGAGGTTATTGTTCAGACAATATTTTTGAAATAAATAGTACAACTAAAAATGTGTGAGAAATAGCTTATTAACCTATAAAGAAGGGAGTCAATCTGGTTGTCACAATAGATGCAACACGTTTCTTTCCTTGCTAGCTTCCATTGCGATCCATCCTCTAACGTTTCTTCATCTGCTTCAAGTTCTAGAAATCATTCTTCAAACACAGTGAATTAATCATGTACCATGCCATGACACTGGAATGAGAGAAAAAGAGTAGTGCACCTTGCATGGTTAGAGATCGGTTAAGAGCAGCAGACACTTCTTGCTTGATGGAGCGTTGCAGCTCTATCTGCATCTCCATGCATGCTTCTAACATTTGTTGCATGCTGGTCATTCCTCTCTGCACTCCAGTCAACTCATCTCGCAAAATGTGGATAGTGTCCCAGTCCTGCAAAGCATTTTTAACAAGATAAATGCTTGGATATTCAAAATTATGTGCACTAAAGGACTCTAGTGACCTCTAATGAACAAACTTTTTCCTTTTCAGTTGGTGGGAGAGACGACTCACAAATTCAGAATGATGCATGCTTTGTTGACTCCAATTATGATGTGGCAATTCAATATGCCACTGGCGTTGCTGTGGGAAAAGTGTTTGATCTGGCAATGTAGTTGATAACTGAGGTGCAATGTCTCTCTCGGCTCGATTCTGTTCATCTATCCTAATTTCAATAGGATCTTCGTTGAGTAAACCAGTTGTTGGTCTCTGCTCCTCGAAATTCCAATCATGAGGATCATGTTCTTGCCTTTGGACATAAGACCGAATGAGCTGGTCCAGACTTTCTTGAAAGCCACTGCTAAGAAGATTAGACACACTTCGCCTACAAAATAAAGGATATATATGAGCATTTGTCATAAGGACAACATTTACCTTCCATGGACCTTTACAAGTTTACCTGCTTAAGAGCTCTCTGAGTTCAATTCCATAAACATCATCATTCGATGGACGAAGCCTATTAATGTTTCTACTTGAAGGGAAACTTCGTCCTAACTGCCAGTTTGGTCTAGGTTCTTGAGAATCAATAATGAGCCATTCGTCATCTCTATGTACAAAGGTGTTGCCATGTCCATCCTCGATGCCAGATATATCCCTTGACCATGGCGAATCACTTTGTTGTCCTCCATAAGTTTCAGCTTCCCATTGCACGCCATTGTTAGATGGAGCAGGAAAGGCATAACTAGAATGATCATTGTCCTGTTCCGAGGACCCTGAGTCTGAATAACCTTCATATCGATCTATTTGTTCTTGAGCAAAGTCGGTTTGATGAGCATCATTACTATTAGCTACATTGTTTTCAATATGTGAATCTTCATTTTGCACTGATTGTTGTGTTAGGATTTCATAGCCACGAGTTGCATTCTCTATATGATTGTTATCATCACTTACAACCTGAGGTGTTACACTGTCATAATCATTATCGGTAGAATTTGTTTGAGTAGACAGTGCCACCAAAGTTGATTGATCGTTGGTGATGCTTTCTGTTCCAGAGCGAACTTCTTCCCTAGGCAAGAACAATATATTGTCAGGAATCAAATGTCAATAATATCCAATTCTTGTCAACTATACCAAAAATGAAAAATGATACATTGACATGATAGCAAAAGTTGTGTTCCTTTTGCAGCTTGATCAAGATATCTTTTCCCCCTAATTTTCTATTGGGTGAAGCAAGATCCAACATGCAAAATCCAAGATCAGCAACAGTAGAGGAGATACTATTACTAGGCAAAGAAAGCCATACCTCAGTCTAGAGTCAGGATGACTCTGTCTAGCATGTCCTAATTCTCTAGTTGTCATAGAAATCGACCTCTCAGCATTCATGGGCCTTCCGCTACAAAAGAATCTACCTCGAAGAAAAGACTGGAAAATAATAACGATCAATTCAATGAAATGCTCTAGAGGACAATATCTCAGACATGACTATTTCATTGAAGTACACTAAAACAATGCTTTTCTACTTTAGGTGCTTAGCAAGTTTCTCTCTACAATAATGCAGTACTTTTCTTGACACACAATACTTGGGTGCACATCATGCAACACAAACAGAGGACATGCTACACACTGCTGCTGCATACCCTGCCGACTATCATATCACAGGGACAGAGCACAACCGCACAAGGTACTGTGTCGCCATACTATTTGCAGCACAGCAACTAGCCAGCTAATATAACCCTTCAAAGAAAAAAAAAACTATCTCTGGTTTATTTTAAGTGGTAACTACTGCAATTAGGATTAGTAGGTGTAGGTGAGAATGAAGTAGCAGTGCACATTTCATTGATTTCCTCCACCCGACAAACGAACGTACATGGACATGGACCATGATCATGCTTATGCTTCTCCAAAAAGCAACCCCCTTGATTTGCCAATTGGATCGATCAATCTTGTTAGAAGCAAGAACAAAAATGTTTGGTTTCGGAGATGGACGGAGAAGCAAATGAAAGCGATCGGCCAAATGAAAGGTTTGAGCTTAAGGGGGATTAGTTTTGGCTTTGACCTCAATGCGGCTGCGGTGAGCGAAGGCGGAGACGGCGCGGTGCTCGGAGAGGCCCTGCAGCTCTCGCTGGCGTTCCACGGCAGCGCGCGCCTGCGGCCGGCCGCGCAGCCTGCTGGGCGCCTCCTCCTCCCCGTGGTAGCCCTGGCAGGCCATGCGGACGCGCTCGCGCACGGAGCGCACCCGCTCGCGCTCGCTCTCGCCCAGCCACTCCTCGGCACCGGGGGCCCGTCCCCGCGCCGCGCCCTCGCGCGGCGACGTGGACGCCGACGCCGCCCACTCCCTGGCGATCCGCCTGACGAGCGCGCGCTCGGGAGACCGCGCGCGCCGCCTGCCACCGCCGTTCCCGCCGCGGAGGAAGGAGGCGTCGAGCATGGAGACGGCGTGGAGGCGCGCGAGCGCGAGGAGCTCGGACTCGCGGTCCCGGCGGTCGAGGTCCAGCGTGGTGAGCACCATCTGCTCGCACGCCTGGCGCTGCCGCGCGGCCCACTGCTGCGCGATGATCCTGGACGCCGCAGCGGCCGATGAGGTCTCGCCGCCGGCACAAGATCGGGTCTTGGCGCGGACATTGTCGTCCATGGTGTGGCGGGAAGCCGGGAAGGTGCTCGATCAGCGCGGTCAGGCAGTGTCGCTGTCAGGGCGGTAGAGAGGAGAGGGAAGAGTATAAGTAGAGGCGCAGGCGGAGGAGGAAGAGAGCGGGTGGGTGGGGATAGCAAGCATTCCTCGCTGGCGGTGGCGGGAGAGCAGAGGAGGAGGAGACGGTGCTTGGGAGCGAGTGCGCTTGAGAGGAGAAGAGAAGAGAAGAGACGGAGTAAATCCCGAGGTGGTGGAGCGACGAGACGCACGCACTGTCTAGCTGTCAGCGGTGTGCGTGCATGCATGCTATTGCTCGCAGTCTCAGCCTCTCAAGCTCTCAGCTCGCTAGCTTTCTTCCTCTTCCGCGCCGTAGAGAAGGCGCCAAAACCGCGAGTGATCTCGAGAACCACCGCCTGCTTGTTGCCTACCTCAATGGCTGGATCCCTAGGGAGCAACACCTAGCAGATGGGCCATGCATGCATGCTGATCTCTCTTGATCACTGATTGATCCGATCCTCCTCCAATCCAATACAATTGGTATTATGCGTCACCTCTGTTTGACTGTTTTTTTTAATATTATAAGAAAAAAAGGCTCGATCATGCACCACTGTCATACTGCATTCTGATCCTTGCATGCATTTTTTTTAGCTCTTCTGTCCTCTAACTATATAACACATGGGATATTTACCATAACGTTATAGTAAACCACTTAGTAAGGAATTACTATAATATCGTAAATTAACATAGTAATTATCGTAACTCAAAGTGGCTACATAATAAGTTATTTTGTAGCCAGCTACAAGGTAATAGTTATATATATATACTATGTATTACCCTGGGTATCGAATAATAATCAGTACCCGAAACCAATTCATCCTATCCGACCGAGCCAACCAGGTCGATCCCGGCGCCGCTTCCCCGTTCTAATCTCGCACCCAACGGCTTCCATAGCTCCCGCACGCCCCATATCGCACAACCGGCGCCTCCGCAGCTCGCACACCCCAGGTTGCCGCCGCTCTCGCTGAGTAGCTCGCCGTCGCCCTTCGCCCGTCCGGCGTCCGCTCGGTTTCGCCTGGATCCGATCTCGCCGTCGCCCTTCTTCAGTCTGGCGTCCGCTCGGCTTCACCTGGAGCGCGTGGTCAGCGGGGGAAGCGGCGCCGCCTTCCCTCCATCGCTGGCACCTCCCTTCCGACGCCGTTTCACCTGGAGCGCGTGGTCAGCGGGGGAAGCGGCACCGTCTTCCCTCCATCGCCGGCAACTCCCTTCCGACGCCTCTCCCGCCGTTCCTCCCCCAGCGCCGCCCGGTCGCAGAGGCAGCACGCCGCCCGGTCGGACGTGCTCGGCTGGCCTTCTCCAGCGTCCCGCCCTGCCATGTTGCCGCTCAGCGTTGTAAGAAGCAGCTCCCTGCGTTGTGCATTCCCAGACGCATCGCGCCGGCCCTTGATTGCCGATTACACTCGTTGATTACCGAGCTTGCATCATTTGGGATGGAGTCGCCTGGTTCCTCAGGTTTCCTTTATATCCTTATTCATGTATCTCGCTTTGTTGTTCCCATTAATTTTGTGTCAAATTGGTTTCACTATTAGATTCCCTGATATGGGTACTCTTTGTTAAAAGGCAAGCACATTATGGAAGTATGAAACTATACGCCATGCTTTGCTGCTCCGAAGTCATTGAAAGCAATGTTTGTTTCAATATTAGAACTTTAGAAGATGATATTATATTCAGCCTCAATCAATTACAGATATCCAGTTTTTAAGAAATAATATATTCTTCATAGTTGTGTTTAATCAGAATCACAGGTCCCTCAATTTCCATGTGAAATATTTTATTTACCATCATGAAGATGATATTATATTCAGCTTCAATCAATTACAGATATCCAGTCTTTAAGAAATAATATATTCTCCATACTTGTGTTTAATCAGAATCATAGGTCCCTCAATGTCCATGTGAAATATTTTATTTACCATCATGAACTAGCTGCTTCATTTGAAAAGAGTAACATATCACGTATTCGTAGTTCAACAAGTGCTCCCATCAGTATTCATGTGTTCAATACCTTTGAATTAATAAACACAATACAGTAAATCCATAAGAAACTGCACAGCAATACATCTACCCTGAGTTCAGACATTAGTCAAAGCTGTCTACCTCCAGTGATCTTTACTAAATCAGTAAATCATCTGTGAAATGTACAGGCCCAGCTATCAAATTATGAATGCCTCTGAACGCTCTAATATCCTTTTACAGTGCGTGGGTTTAGGATAGAAACTCAGCCTTTTAGCCTCTTAATTGAAGAAGCTACAATGCCTCACCCCACACATTTTGTCTTATAGCATCTATAATTTGAACCCTTCAAATTTAATTCTGAGTAGAATATATAACTGCAGTTGTAAGCATGAGGTAGAGGCACAAAAACTTCCTATTGTTACAGTCTCACAAGTTAGATGGTTAAACACATGGATATGAACTTGACAAGATATCCTACCAGCGATCTTTATGTGGCATTCTACAAATAGCAAGCAGGCTAGGCAGCTGACTTTTGGAAGTGTTTAGGTCACAACATCAAGGTCTTCATTTTTATCAGTGCGGGTGTGCACTCAGCCCACCAGCCTGACTTGGTGCAGAAATCAGTAATCAGTTGCAAAGCATGTACCCACACTCTGTGAGACCTTCGATGCCTCTGATAAATTCGTATTGGGTTTACTAGCACATGTACATGGGTATTGATGGTAGAGTGTTGTGTGTTTTCGTGCGCGTGTGTATGCCTCATACTCAATTAGTGTCTTAATAAAAAGAAGACATAAGACAGATTAAACCACACACATTGATTCAGCTTTGCATTGTTTTTTTTGTTCATATCATACACGTATTTTTTATTTACGGTGTCATTATAGTTTAATAAAGCAATTCTATTTATTCTGCATTTGCAGAGGATGCCCATGCTGGAAAAGGTCCTGATTATCAACTAAAAGGTTCTTTGTTTCATGTTCCCATTATGTTATTTTTTTTTATACATTCACATTGACTCAGCAGTTGCAACTACATTGTTCTGTGGAGTCAGCTTGTAATTTTAAGTTGTAGAGTATACGAATGCAGTATTCTAAATGCATTCTAAATCATTGACTTCAGAATCCGGTTGGAGCTAGTTGATAATATGCCTCACAACCCAAAAAGGCTTGTATTTGAGAGCACTCAACAGCGGTCAGTACATTTTTTTTTAATTTTAGTGGCCTTTTCCATTTGTTGTATCTGCTTTTCTCTCAGTTAATGTGATCATTTCCCATTTAGGTATGAGGTCCCTTTGCGACAAGACAAGAGGTTACCCTCGTCTCCTGGTAGAACCTCTGCATCGGCTTCACGAAATAGAGGTGCAAAGGGGAATGGCTGTACTATAATTTTAATCTGTTGCAATATGGAGTTAGTATTTTACAAATGACTAGACAAAATTAGATACATTCATTTACAACTTATCTAATCTTGTTTATGATTTTTTTTATTTATATTTATATGATCAGATGTATGTACACATAATTTGAGAATAATTTAATATTCATGGATTTTAAATTTTGCTATCTTAAATTTCCATTGTTCTTTTGATTCCACTTCGGCTTGTCCTTTTGTTAATTAACACTTTTCATCTTGTTCTGAAAGCTCACAAGATTTTTCTATTATTAAAATCATCTACCTTTGTTGTTTATTATTTTCCTTTTCTGGTCCTTTTGGTATTCAGATGCAAGTCATTCCCCTTCTAAGAACCCTGCGGTAGCACCTACTTCTCGTGACCACTCTCAGAGAAGGTACTGTTTACAATCTTGTGTACCAAATTTCCCACCAATCATAATCGTCTGAGGCATATCAGTGTACTCTTCCAATTTGTATATTCCGTACAAACATGCTGCACATAAATCTGCTTCTTCTATCCCCTATGTAACCGTATCCCTGGTTTTATTTTTTTTCATAAGTTCATGGTTCATTTTTTTCTATTTTTTGGTAGGACTCATGCTGCTCGGCGTACTGTGGATAGGGTCCTGTGTAACCTTAAGAGGGTGGTTTTTGAGAGCTCGCAGGAGAGGTTCATACGTGTTTTAATTTATTATAATTCTATTTATTTCCGAGAATCACTGATTAATGTTAATTCTTAGTCTGTTGTTAAAGTTTATCTATTCGTGGCCTTTTTTTTAGGTTTGAGCATCATATTCGACCAGAGCATGTGTTGCCTTCTGCAGCTGGTCACGACAGTCATGACGACGACTTCATGCCCATTCCCAACACCCGTTCATCCTCACACATCGACAAATCTAAGGATGTTGGTCCGAGGAAAACTAGGCAAACACGAGTAGGATTGTCGACCGGTGCATGTACAGAGGTGTATACCATTTATTTACTTCTGCACTTTCTTTTCATAAGAGTTATCATTCTAAAGCTCCTCTTCGTATGTATCACTAGTTTGATTTTTCCTTCAATATACCACAAATCTACTATCATGTCTTTGTTGCCAAATCTCTACTTTTCTATATCTGTTTTGCTTTCTACTACCCCTGCAAAAAATTTTCAACTACACTACCCTTGCATTAGTTTATCATTCCTACATCCCTTTCCCCAATTATTAGTTTTTTTTAGAAATCTGTCTTCTTCTCGACTACCCATGCATCAGTTTATCATTTCTACAGTGCTTCTCAGAATTTCGAGTGTCTCTTCTTTTTTATCCATTCTTGTCCTTACTATTTCTAAAATTCTTGTTATTTGTCCCAGGCAAGACAAAGGAAAAAGAGAGCTACCAGCCGTTCTTCCATTGTAAATGTTCGGTGCAATCCCATAGATGTTATTTTCACCACTAACTTGTTGAACCCACAGCAATATGCTGCTATCGAAGCTGATGGGTTTGGTCATTTGCTGAGAATGAAGATCGATGCTGTAGAGAACAAGAATCTGCTAACCTGGCTATTAGACCACACTAATCGATTACGATCGTATGCTAATTAGGATTGGTGCGGGGC